GCATTCTCTACATTTTTCTACCAGCTGACTTTTACCCGATTTGCTCTTGGTTTTATACGTTATTACAGTGGAACCTCAAGATACGAGCATAATCCGTTACAGGACCAAGCTCGTAACTCGAGACACTCGTATCTCGAATCGTGTTTTCCCATAAGAAAAGACAGAAAAAGTCTCATCTTCGAGACAGATGTAGCGGCTAATAACAGCACGTGCACCTTACACATACACTACGCAACTTACATAAACTTAGAATTAATTTTTAAACCGACGTTGACGAACACGTGAAGTGAGCGAGTGAGGCGGTGTGGGCTGCTCCGAGTTCTCGGCCAGCTACTGTCGGCGTCCGTAAGCGCGCTCGTATCTCGAGTCTTTACTCGTATCTTGAAGCTAAAATGTACTCAGTGGCTTGCTCGTATCTCGAAATACTCGTATGTCGAAGTTCCATATCTCGAGTCTTTACTCGTATCTTGAAGCTAATCAGTGGCTTGCGGCTTGCTCGTATCTCGAAATACTCGTATGTCGAAGTTCCACTGTACTTCATATTTCTAATTTATTTGCTGCATTTTAACTACATACTGCAAATGTTATCTCTAATTTATTTGCTGCATTTTAACTACCGTACATACTGCAAATGTATTGGGAGCTCAACTTCGTGGAAGTCATTACATTAGAATTAGTAGGCACCACACACTTACAATGACCACAGTCAACTACTCTTAAGCAAATGGAGGGAAATCAAGTAACTAACATAAGGTTTTATCAGTTTAATAAATTGTTATTCGGTAATAACTGCAATGGCTGAACAAGAAAAACAGATTTTAAACCGATCTGTCATATTTGCAACGTATTACAGCAGTGAAAGAGTTAAGAGCCTCTCTCTCCTCTGAGCATGGCTGCAATCAGCACTGAGGACTTTCAGCACCACACAGCTCTTCTGTTTTTATATGGACTCAACGAGCAGGATTTTTTTTAAAAAAAAAATCTGTGACGGCAGCTTATGGGTGGGACAGTGAAATAACCTTTAGGTGTATCCACAACTTTACATGGTAGAAATCATGAGTCTGTCAAATCTATTAAAGAGAAAGGTGCTTGCAATACATTAATGGGGGGGGATTTCGGTATAAATTTTAACATGTAACATGTTGATTTTTTTTTTAATTTAAAGTAATGGTTTACAAAAACAAGGATTTGTAAATCTTCCTATATCTTTCATTACTTGACAGTAGTTTATCAACAGGAATAATGGAATCTCGTTTTTACCAGGCCATTCAGATTAAAAATGGCGGAGTCCGTTCGCTGTATGTAAACAAACGGAGCGATCCGAAGTCAAATAAAAATTATATATGTATTTTAATTATTTTGAGAACGATTGATTTTCTTTTTCTTTTTTTTTTTTTGAAAACTGGAGAAATGTATATTTCCTTAAACTCGGCAGTTTTTTTTTTTTGAAAACTGGAGAAATGGATATTCCCTTAAACTTTCCGCAATAAGCTCGGAATGTTTTTGTTTTTCTTTCAGGCTCTTGTTAGTGACCTGAACGTCCACTAGAGGGGGGCAGAAGTATGACGAGAGTAAAAGGAACCACCCATCCCATCCGACAACACATTTCAGCACCACCACTGTGGACCGAGAGAAACAACGGTGCGTCAGGATTTTTAACCCTTTACACTCCGGATATAAATTATATGATTATGCTTAGACGACCTCTGTTTACTTCATTTGATGCAAAGCTGCTTAGTTTAGACTTAGATTAGATTTCAATTTTAACCCAATCTGCTCATCCACAATTAGTTGTATTTTCCTCATTTGGCATCAATTACATTTGTATATTATGTAAGTGGTTTCTTCTCCTTTATAAACAAATCTCAAATTACAACTAAGCAAGCTCCTGTAGATGGCATCATTCAAAATGCATACTAGCTGTGTCTGCGCAGCGTGGATAACCTATGAAAATGAAAATAAATTAAAGTAATGATATTGTCACTTTAAAAAAAAAAAACCCTGCTACCTTTTCCTCATCACACAACACAATATTATTAATGTTTAGATCAATGTTTTACCCCAACCATTAATTTATGGTGTTCAATCTACAACTATTTATTATGTGAACAATAATGTCAACCAATCACATCTTGTATATTAATTGATGCACGTCTATGTCTACGCCATAGTAATATTGTATATGATGATTGATTTTGTGCATGTATGTAGACTGTACACACAACAGCGTGGGTGTACAACGTGTTTGCAATGAGGAAGTGTTAAGTTACTTTCACCTATTTGCATGCTGCGCAGGGGCCATCTTGAATGTTGTCTGTGCTCACAGCCAGTGTCTATTTGCCTTTCACTCGTTTACACAGACGAGCTTAAATTGTTGCTAAAACGCATTACTTACATGTCTTTCAATATTCTAAATCATTTCTGCCTCCCCCACTGAGCACCATGTACTGTTTTTCTCATTTTTACAGATACAGGTAGAGTGTGACAGTGTGGAGGAAGTATCCCCTTCATGCTGCAAAAACTCATAAACACGTTTATCCGGACATCTCCCCGTGTTTGAAGGTAAAACAATACGTCAATATCCTCTAAAAACGGAAAACTACAGCCAAGTCAGCTCCGTTCCAGCTTAGCTATGGCTCCCTCTAGCTGCGCCTCGCCTCCTTGCTAATGCCCTAATGCCTTGGCCCTCCCAGTAGTATCACACTAAAATACCATCTAAACATGTATGAAAACTCGACTTTCTCTGTTCAAATGTGAAGTTTATTGTTCCACGTTGATTTCTGAACAACAAATGGCCCCATTGGACCCAGTAGAACGCAGGATGTCTTACCTTTTCTTGAAAATTCAGTTCAACACCTCCCTCAACAATGTCCCAACCTCGCAAAACTCCTTCTTCTTCCCAGCAATCCCTGCAAAAAGGACACTTCCATGTTTGTTAAACGTGTAGGGGTGACCACATAGGATTTTATATTTTTAAATTGTTTTAAAAAGGCCTTAAAAGCCCCAAATTCACCATTTTAGCTCCCAAGACATCTTCTATCCAAAATGCCATTTGAAAATGGCACAACAATTTCTTTTAACAGTAAAATTCTCTCCTCTTGTATATTAGAGTTCACCCCCTATATTTTGAACTTAATTTGGTCCATTTGTAGTCTTTACTGCTGAACGGAAAGAAGAAAAGTCCGTCAAGTGCGCAGGTAAGAGCTTATCATCTTGATGCTGCCAACTGCAAGCTAACCAAGCTAACCAAGTGGTCAATTTGTAGTTTTCTTTCTTCTTTAAATTTAAGACTATTTCCCGCTAACCAAGTGGTCAATTTGTAGTTTTTTTCTTTAAATTTAAGACTCTTTCCTGTGTCTTTCAATTAAAACAACACCCGGAATTTGCTTTTTACGATATTGAGTTTAAAAGGAAAGAACGTAATTACTTTCAAAAATGGAGCCTGTCCCAAATTGATGAACCTGTAGCTCGACTCTCTCCAAATACGTCGTTGTTGAAAGCAAACCAGGATGTATTGAGTGGGAAATGTACTTACATTTGTTTTACCATTTTTTGTCAGCAAAAATAAAGAATTATAACTTATATTTTTGTCAGCAAAAATAAAGAATTATAAAAATAAATAATAAAAAAATCGTTCTTTTTCGAGTGTATATATTGGAAAACCTATTCCAAATGGCGCAATGGTTTTTACAGACAATAAAGTTGATATTCTGGCAAATGAAATGCTACATTTAACATTTTAACTTTTTTTTATTATTATTATTATTTAATAATATTATCATCAATTTAGTAAATGCAGTGTTGAGTGAACAAAGAATAGAAAGCCAATGAGGCTAAGGATGAGCTGGTCGTTAATCCGGTTAGGTTCGTTCCCCGAGGCACAAAACGAGTGTCGTGTAAATATTAAAGAACATCCTTTAGGTCCCGGATGTCCAGTGAGATGAGAGACTTTGTTGTTGTTTTTCCCCCCCCTGAAATAAAGCCCGAATATCAACAATCCGGCAGACGATCCCTGCTCCTCTTCATTGTTCTTTCCCGTGCGTAGTTTCCTCCACCGCGTTTACCACATATAGACTGGAATATAATGGACGAAATTATCCGGGCGTGTCCTGACCTGATCGTGGAGCAGGTTGCAGACCCCAGACACTTCAGCTATTCCGGATCTCAAATGAGGTGAAGGAGGAGGAGGAGGTGAGGCGTTGACCCCCTCTGCCCCGAGCGACCTTTTCGATGTTCAAATGATTTAAAATGATGTATTGTCTTTAAAATATTACATGCCTTCTCCTCGTGCTGCTCATGGCTCTGCTGGGGGGGGGCTCAGCAGATCGCGTGCCTGTCTTGGGTTCTCGCTGCCACCAATTGCGCTCTCTTCGGCAGTTGTAGTAGCAGCTGCCGCCGCAGCGGATCGTATTTCCTTGCAGGAGTCACCAGGTCAACAGCCACTGTTTTCTAAATGATAGTATAGTGACAACCATCCATACTTGGGCAACATTTGCTGGGCGTCAGGCTGCGGTGGATATGCGTAATAATTGGGCTGCGCACATAACAGAAACAAACAGCCTCTGTTGCGAGACGTTTCTGTGGCTTTCTATCTTTAGCTGGAGGGGCACAAAGAGGTCTCTGCTGACGGTTGAATACCTGAATAATAATGAAGGCCCAAAGACGGCCAAACGGGGACAGACAATCAACCCCGAGCTAAGAAAATATATTACTGTCCAAGGGTGCACGATATCCAGATCGCGATCCACCACTAGACCGAAAAAAAGAGCTGGTAGATTAAAAGCTAAAAATATATATATATATATATGTAATATAAATATAATATAAATAAAATCCCGTAGGGAGTAGTATATAATGTAAGAATTAAAACCCTAATGTATATATCAAATACATTCATTTGTTTTTTACAATTAAACATATATTACATTTTCAAGGTAGATCATTTTAGCCTGGTCATTTGAATAGTAGCTCCCGAGCTAAAAAAAAAAAAAAAAACTCTTAAAAAAATAACTATGTTATTCTAATTTTATTCTATGCACAGATTTATTAGAGCTGCCACAAACTGGGGTAATAGGCATTAGTAAAAGGTAGAAAAAAGGCAGAGGTCTGGTCCACATCAACACTAACCTCTAGTTCACTCTAGAGAAGCACCTGTTTGCATACAGGGGTAATCCACAGATGATGTCATAGCCTTATTTCTAACAGTGATGAAACAGATGATGGTCCTAAAGCTGATCATCCACTTTACGTAAGAGGAAAAATGGACAGAGACTCATCCTCTTCTGTGAGGAATGTGCGGAGAGGGTGTCTGACGTTCCATTCCCGGGGGTTGCACCTCAAAGATGACTCCGCAAGGCACACAAACAACAGACACCTAATCAAGAAGGCACAACAATGTCTTCTTTATGAGGATGCTCGGGAGGAAGACCCATCCAAACCAACTTGCGTCCTTTTCTCGCAACTGTTTGCTGTAGTCCACTCCAGAAGTTCATCGGATGCCTCCCTGAGGGAAACTACTGCCGTTTCTTCTAAGGAACCCAGGAAATCTTCCAGAACAAATTAACCCCCCATCAGCCCACAGGCAGACAGTTCACGTCTGTCAAGAACTAAAAACTTTGAAGGTTGTACTTTGAAGCTAAATTTTGCGTAACTCTCAGGGATGAAGTTAGTGGTGTTTTCTGCAAACTTACAATATGTGCACTATAAAAGAAAGATTTTGTACAAATAAAAGTGTCAAAAAGAATCAAAATGTTACTCCTCTACAAGCAAATAATACAACAAAGGGGGGGAAAATGATCTATTAAAGTGACAACTTTAACGACACTATTTACACAATAACGTGTCGGAATGAACTTTTTATGCTACTATCGCATACTATTATGAGACATAAACATTTAGACCAAAGCATTTTTAACATGGACATACAGAGGGCAAATACAAGAGACATAGTACAGTAAATCAATTACAATTTTAACAATTACACAATACCAGGAAAAACATAAAGCATAAATATTATCGTAAACACATGTTGACTTCGTGGCTCATATTAAAGTTATGTATCCGCTAGGGATATCCAATAATATTGGCCAGATATTAGCATAATTATGTAATATTGATAAGATTACATAATAAGATATTTGCTGAAATCGCACGTATAGGGTCCGTAGACGATTACGTCAGTTTTGGGGGCGAACAGCTGCATATATATTGGTATCGGTTGATATCAGAATCAAAAATGAGTGTTTGGACAATATCAGCATATCGGATATCGTCAAAAAGTTCATATCGGACATCCCTAGTATTTGCATTTCTTTCTTTTCTCCTCCTGGTGGCTGGAACCGTCAGCGTCCTCCAGGTCCTCCAGAATTTCGTCATGGATGATCACCAACTTCCCGAAGACTTAAGAAGGGTCAACCCTGGATCCTGCTCCTTGCACCAAATTGTTATGACATTTTTAAAAAAATTGAAATAAGCAAAACGTGGTTTGTGAGGCCAATCACTGTCCTGACCTCACTTAGCCATCCACCCAAATTACACAGGAAAAAAAACGTTTTCTTTTGGAGAACAACAGTGTAGGTTTATTCCCAGTGCACAAAGATGCTCAAAAAACAAACAAATGACTGAAGAAAAAACCCAAACAAATAACAAATAACCATCACAAGCATCAAAAAATTTATCCCGTGATTGGATAGAGAGTTGAGTTCATTATGACAAAGTTTGAGGTGTTGCATTGATTCTCCATAACAAAAACACTACCCATAACCACACATATGTGCACTTGTATGTATTTGTACACACATCTGTAATTATGACAGGACCCACTAAATGTTTGCAAGGGTAACAATATATAAACAGATAAACACGTGTCAAACTCAAGGCCCAGGGCCCAAATGTGTTAAAAAGCATTTAGTAAAGTCCATGCAGCAGAGTTTCTTAACCTAGTTTTCAATAATCAATCAAATTAATAATCAATTGCAGAAACATGGATTAGTCTGTTATGGAGTAGTTACATCTATACCAGAGGTTTATGTTCCAAGGACTGGTCAGCCAGTACCACCCATTACTACAGACCTTTAGCAAGATGGAATAATATATGAATATTATTTTAAACTATTGCCTGAATATCTTAAATAAATAAAGAAAGAAAGTAAATGGATACGACTGGATTTTCTTTGAATTAAGTAAATTAATAAAAATGAAGTACATTTTTTTCTGGTACTGGTCCGCGGACCAGGGGTTGGGGACCCCTGATTTATACAGTCTTCCATTTACAACTGGCCCTTCAAAGGGAACCGTGTTGCTGATGTGGCCCCCTGGTGGAAATTAGTTTGACACCCCTGCCCCTAGACCAAGCGGAAGTTTTCGCTGTCTAAAAATAGAACGTAAAAGCTGAGCTCAACCATGGTGCGCGTTTCCACCCGGAAACATTAAGCTGCCGTACAGAGAAGTGCAACGGCGCGATGGTGAGTATGTGTGTGGTTATATTCTGCTACGAGTTGATTGTTGAAGCTGCAACAGTGGGGACCTCACTGCCCACTATGGTGTTGACATAAATGGATTTTTTTTAGTGATATACTGCGTTGTTGTTGTTTGTGTACGCTGGTTTAAATTTAAGCGGTTTAGCATGTCGCTGTGTCCGAGGTGCATTATGGGTAGGTTTGTAGTATTGTAGAGTACAGAGTGTACTCTACAAAACTACCCAGAGGTTTCCTACAGGTTTTCACGGGCATGAAAAGCCAGAAAAGAGGGCATTGCTTATTATATTAGTGAATGCAGAATAACTCGGATACCTGCTGGGTAAAATTAAATTCACATGCATAATTATAATATGCGCTTTGCATCTCATGTGTGTTTTTACCATTATACCGTACTTATACGGTCAGTATTGAGCATAAAGCTGTTTGTTGTACGACCGGGATTTAAGTTTGTGCGCTCATATTATGTGCTTTACTTTTTGTTGATGTTTGTGGCATTATTTTGTTGGTCATTATTAAGCTGTTTAGCGGTGCTGATGTTTGTTGGGAACAAACAAGTTATACGTAATCATTGTTCCTGCAAACGGCTTACGGAGGCGAAAGCTCAACAGCGTCGTTTTCTCGTAAGTAAACGAGAGGAAGTCGTGTAACAAATGAGCCATTTCTTGTCATACAAGTTCAATGGGATGCTCTGAAAGGATACGCTAAATACTTCCGTTTCCGGTTTCCGCCATCCAAACAATATAATGGATATCGTGTGGCAAAGAAAAAAAAAGTTTGTTCACGGAAATTGGTCATGACTAACGCTTTGTTTTTATCTTGTCTTTAGTTTTTCCCGAATTCTTATTCCGTGTGCACATGTTTCTTTGTTTTTATAATTTTTAATCAGTCCATGCCCCTATCGTAGTGCTCACGCTTTGATAACATCTAAGCTAATTTGTTTCTTTTTATGAGAGCAATACCCAAATTATTTTTACCATTTACAAATTCAATAAACTAAACTAACAAAAAAATAAAAAAAATGCACAGGTCCAATTGCTTTGTGGTTTGTTGTGGGAAAATTTAAAAAAAAATTTAAAAAAATACATTTTACTTTGGAGTAAAGGCAGCAGTTGCACTAATTGTAAGACATTTCTTATGTACTTTGGTTTAGGTGACATATGGCTTTTAAATTATGGGGGAAAAAAAAAGATTTTACATGATTAGTCATTAACTTAAGAAAGATATATTCATTTATTGCACATAACGAAGTATAAAAGTGACTTTTAACTTCCAGTTGAGTGTTCTCCAAAAAGAACTGATGATAGTATATACTAGAAATATTGTTTAAAAAAAGTACACAGCAGTAAAATAAAAAAAAAATCAGCAATGTATTGTACTTTCAAAATAACATATACAAAATATTCAATTACATGTGTCTATATATATATATATATATACATACATATGTATATATATATATTAATGACAACAAAAAATGAAAAAGTGTTGTTCAAATGAAAATTAACTTTCTCACATCAAAGTGCACTGCTGCAACATACACAGTAAATGCTGGTGGAACTGTTGTTCTCCTATAGAATCCATATTTTATTGTGGATTGTTATGCAGAGGATGCGTCAGAGGATGTGCTTTTGCTACCTTGTCTTTTCCGGTTTTTTTTATTAGTTTGACATAAGTCACCTGGTGCTTTGGCCCAGAGGCAATGTCTCTGTCATTGGTGACTGCTTTAGCATCTGGAAAAGCAGGAAGTCATAAGACTTCAACATTCAAGACATAAGGCAGCATAAGAGGAAACGTCCAGTGGAATAACTGTTTTCATAATAATCATTTTACTTCCATAATGTTGGTTTTGTTATTGTGATAAGTATCAAACTTAATTGTCAAATAAATATATATTTTTTATTGGTGACATATTTGCAAGATATCATTATACAAGAGTAGTCTCACAAAGTTGGGTTTTGTGTACTGGCTAAAATATGATTTGTCAAATGTTGCGAGAAGGTTATCGTGATGGACAGCATCTATATCATCAACAACAACATTAACAGAAGGATGACAAAGGATTGCGCAGAACTATGACAATGACAAAGTATTCCACTTTTCTTAAAAAAAAAAAAAAACAACAAAAAAACACACCAAATTTAATGCCCTATTAGTGTCGATCAGCTGCACAATATTCCATCAGTGTTGCCATGTGACCCCGCCTGCTCAGCTTGCCGTTTACCCCGAAGTGACTCCATATTCTGTAGAAGGTGGCCGTACTGCATTGAGTTTGCCTGATGACGAGCGACTTTCTTTGCATAGTACCTTTTTGACGCCGCTCTCCACGCCTCCCTCTGCATCATTTGAGACTCTTCAGATAGATGAGTGTGTGAATACTTGGAGACTGCAATGTGAGAAAAACAATGTGGTTGAGCCGGGTTGGCCTGTTGTCGGGCTATTTTACGGGCATAATATCGTCTGGATGCCGCTCTCCATGCTGCCCGCTTGAGTCTTTGAGCTTCTTCTGGCAGCTCCGCCATCGGAATGCTCCTTTTTTTATTCCTGGGGTTAGAAATAAAGGCAAACAAGGCAGTGATTCAGTTAATTTTAGCAAAGCATCCCTCTATTTCTAAAACTGAATCAACGACATTTTTAGACATTATTTACAAAGTCTGGTGTGGTTATGATTGTTTTTTATTTATTTAATATTTACTGACCATTTAACACTGCTTTGAAAACCATTCAGAAAGCCAAACAATTTTTAAAAATGGATTACTAATAGTCTGGCATAATTACATGAAACTGCAATAATAAATGTTTCTAAATTCAAAATTTTTTATTTTTCCCTTCTCATTACCGCAACACCTTCTGCAATCTACACCCTCATAGTTTTTTCATTGAAATGTAACATATTTTCAAAATTATTTGGTAAACTTTAACGCACTTGATGTACATATAGTATTATGCACCTGCATTTTAAAACAAACTACTATCTATTCATTATATAAATGACAAAGCATGTTTCGGTAACAACTCTTTTTCTTTAAGAAATACAGTATTAATGAAATATATATATATATTTGGAAATATAAAAATATATATGGATATATGTAGTTGGAAATGAGGTTTGAAAATCAAAATGCTGACGCTGGTCTTCTGAAACATTTTGAATAATTTCATTTGCCTCTTCATCCTTGTCACTCACTGGGGTATCCAAAATAGCTTTTAGTGGTTCTTTGTGTAGTATCTTTTTGTTTTCCTGCTTTTTTATTTTTTATGTTGTTGTTTTTTTCCCTTAGTTTTTGTAATCTGGATATTTTGCTTTCTTTTTTGATATCTGGAAGTTGAAAGGAAGCATAACATGAAATTGGAATCTCAAAACAAGGGACAAATCTTTGAGTACCTATAGACCAGTGACTCTCAAGCTTTTTCATATCAAGGACCCCTGGACACCACCAGGGGTCCTTGATATAAAAATAGCTTGAGACTATAATTGTTTTCCTGTGCTTGATCAGCCGGGCCCTTGCTAAAGCTAAAAAATCAAAATCATTACTGCAATGGTGTATAAATGATTTCATGAGAAACACCCATTTACTGACCTGTGGTTTCCCCCATCTACAATATGATGACTGCCTGGGTCGGCTTGCAGGTACTCCCTAAAATGTGTTTCATTATTGTATTCTGAAAGGAAAAGAATAGGGTCAATTTCTAGGCACAAAAACACATTTAAATGAGTATGAATCATTTAACAGTTGAGGCTTTTCACAAGTGTAATATAGATACAAAACTAAATTCAAGCAGCATCAACACTTGTCAGTTTTAATATATGTTAATTAAAAATAAAAATAAATTTAGTTCAAAATAAATCGAATCCACTAATCCACTAGCTTTTCGAATGATTTTCTTAGATACCCTTTTCGAACAAATTTTTTTAAATAAATTAATAAATGGTTGTCGCACCATACCTCGGTTGCCGAACAGGCCAAAAAAAATAGTGAGTAAACGTTTGTATTATGCTATCTCTTCTATTTTGTTTATTCCCTAAGTCACCAAGGGACCAAAAATGATAGTTACTGTTGAAAGGCAGAAAGGAGAATTGGTGAGAACAACAGTAGGAGTGAAGAAAGAGATTATATGAAAGCGCGAGAATGGCGTTCACATTTCAGATCTGGCTTTACAGTATGGTTTAAGCAGGAGTCGGCGATTTGTGTCATCAATATTAAAACAAGGACGCAAATAAAAGAAGCTAAGGCTGTGATCACCAAGCAGAGCTCTTAGAAAAAGTGGGAAAAAAGTTGTTACTGATTTGGATCAAGGAAAAAGCAGTTGGTCGACGACAGTATTTTATTTGTTTCAATTTTTCGAATGTTTTGGTTCACTAATGGCCTTAAGGAAGGAATTGAACAAGAAAACCCAGGTTCCACTTCTAGTTCTATTAATACACAATATGCAGAGGAGTCGTTCATTAAATGTAATGTAACTTATCAAATAACAATTCAAATGTGTTACCGTTGCCCGTGAAGCTCTCCTCTTCCTGATATGGTCCGTCTGCACTCTCCTGATGCTCCTTGAATCTATCGTCGGTCAGTTCCGACTTAACTGGTACAGCGTCTATGTCACGTGGCTCTTCTTTGACTACAAGGTTGTTTGGAGATAGAGTATGGTCTTTGGCTGACAACAGCACACCTGAAGATTCTGAACAGCTGGTGGTGCAGGTCTGGTCCAGACATGTTCTGCTGGGGGATGATGGAGGAGCTGATTCGTGGCTTTGGGAAGAGATCTGTGAGGGAGGCCTGCCAAAAAGTCCTACTGTGAAGAAGAAAAATAATAATTTGCATGGGTGAAAGTGCCTAACAAATAAAATTCATAATATACTGCCATTCTAGCTTTCAGATTTCACTTTTAATTAGTCCAAACATGAGATCTTAACATTCCGGTTTGTGTAAGTACATGTTTTCACACCCTCAAAGTTGACAAATTCGTTGGCATCAACTCAATGAACATTAATTCGTTAAATTAAAGGGTCACAGTGTAATAAAAAAAAAATACTCATTGTAATAAACTTACTCTAATTATACTCTATTTACTATTTTTTTTCTTTGCTTATATATTATGTAAACATGTAAGTATAACATCCCATTAGCAGATAGTGGCCCAATGCTCCCACGCAGCTCGCAATTTAACTTTAAAAACCATGAATTCTTTGGATAATCCACCCGGAATGATGGCAAGTCCCGAATTAGTTTGCTTCACTTGGGTTTTTACAATATCAGTGACGTCCAGAGTCAGGCAGTTGTACTATCACTATTTTTGTTCTGAATGGTCACCGTGTTGGATGTTGTTTTGCAAGGAGAGTGTGTGTGTTTTGCCTGTATGGATAAAAAAAGGAGAGATAGTAGGTAATGCGCCGTGTATGGTGTGGTTGATTGGGATTTCAATTATGATTTCTTATTATATTTTAATTATACCACTGTTAACCATAGTTAAATATATATATGTATATATATATGGGGTGTCGACCAGATTTATACAACCATTATTACTAAGAGCTACTACACATATATAATATAATATTATATAGGACTGATATTAGTAATATATTTATACACAGTATGTTATAAATATGCATATATATATACATATATATATATATATATGTATATATATATGCATATTTATCACATATACTGTGTATAAATATATTACTAATATCAGTCCTATGTAATATTATATTATATATGTGTAGTAGCTCTTAGAAATCATGGTTGTATAAATCTGGTCGACACCCCATATATATATACATATACATACACATGTACATACATCCACATATATGCACTATATATATATACACATATACATAAACATATGCTTATAATAGAACATAAAATAGAAATACAGTGGTTTATTGTAATGCAAATGAGGATTGTGGTTATTGCACTGAAATTATTGTTGGGTTATTGCATGTCCTCCCCTATCCACCAGGTTTGTTCGGCCTCCTCCCACCCAGAGGTAAACAGTTTAATTGCCCGGTGGACAAAGGAGTTTTTGACAGGGGATGAGTGGCATATAAGCGTTGTATATTAATTATTTGATCATAACCCCATCGTGCATTTAAAAAAAATGTCATGTCAAATCATTCAAAACAAAAGTGTAATAACTTGGGGACCACCACAGCTGCTTACAGGAAAGGATAATGTCGCACTCCGGCTGCGCTGCAGTCGCCTGCGCGTCCATTCCAACCGGTTCAAAGCCAATCTCCACTCCGTGCAGTTGGTCATCTGCAATCCGCGAAGAACCGGTATCCAAGCTGCAGGCGCAGCCGTGTCTGCGCAGCACTCGCTGTTCATCTTCTATTCTCTTCAGCCGAGTTTCCAGCCGCTGGATCTCTTTGTCCTTTTCCGCAACCACCCGCTGGTACTCGTGTGTCCTTGCGCCGTTCACACCACACAGCACGTTTATGATTGAATCTATGGCTAATCGGATGGCGTTTTCCACCAGCACGATCTCATCGTCGCGCAACTGTGCGTGCGACGCCCTGTCTTTGATTAAATTCATCTTTGTACAGCGACCTATGTGGATGTTAGGAAGCTAGCTACGAGCTAACTATGCTAAACAACCAACGGAAACAGCCCTTCTTTATCGCCTGCTGCTCGGGAAAGTTTCGCACACAATGGCAACTGCGCTGTGTTCAACCGTGTAACTGTCAATAAAACCAACGAAAAATAAATATTATTTTCTCTTTATAACGCTATCGTTTGGGCTTCAGGCACACACCACACACGACAACAGCCGTCACTGACTTCCTCTGCGGTAATAGCTGAACGGTGGATGTTGGTTGTGGCAGCCACAGTGCCGCCTAGCCAATTCAAGTGAAGTGGAGTTTATTTTAATACCCAAAATGGGATAGTAAAAAAAGTGAGGAAAAGGGGAGGCCATTTTAGGAGAACAAAACACCACAGTGTACGTACAGTACTTTCCAGCTAGCTAGCGTAAATGCCAAACTCATAAAGTCATAAACAAGTTTATCACTAATATTATCAGTAAAATAGTAATACAGTAATACCATGAGATACGAGCCTAGGACTGCTGTTATTTAAAATCATTTTTTCCCAGAAGAAATAACAGGAAAAAAAAAATTTAATCCATTCCGGCCTTCTAAAAAACTCCCTTATTAGTGCTAATAGCAATGGAAAAAACATGTTTTTAATTGCTATGGAGACAAGCACACAAAAATAAATAGTATATAAGGAATACTGTGATATAAAATAAAATAAAATATTATTTTATTTTATTGTGGCGCTTTGGCCCAGGGGTGGTGTTTCTGTCGTTGTTGTGGAGCCCCAGGGTTCACCTCCTGGGCAAGTTCGAATCCCGGTTAGGACGGTTGGTACCTTCCAGTGGACTCACCATCCGCAGGAAGGTTCAGGGGGGTTGGTATGGTGCAATGTGATTCGGGTGGCGACTGCTGCCCCCGTGACCTGGTAACGGATAAGCGGATGAAAATGGATAGATGGATTTTATTTTATTTTATTTTATTTTATTTTATTTTATTTTATTTTATTTTATTTTATTTTATTATTTATTTAATTTAATTTTATTTAATTTTATTTAATTTTATTTAATTTTATTTGCTTTTTTCTATTATTTATTTAATTTAATTTTATTTATTTTATTTTATTTTATTTTTTATATTTGTATTCTTTACTTTTCTTAACTTAACTTTTTTCTCCTGACTACCCTCACTGGCACAGGCCATCGTTCACGCGGGCACCGCGCTCATATCTGACAATTTCATCCTTTATTTCCATGGTCCTCATGCGTTTTTTTGTTTTTTTTCTCACTGCCATCCTTACCACTCACATTCTTAGGATTCATCTCTATTTTGAAGAATAAGGCACAAAATAGAGAGAAAATCACGTAGATAACGTATAGATTATATATAGTAAATAATATGTTCCAATTTTAACAAAAACATTTGGTTTATTGAGTTTTCATACAACAGTGGTTTACACAAGGTGGTGAGTCAATCAAAATCTGTATAATTGTATAATTTTTTTTTTTTTGCTTGTGGTCTACCAAAGCTATGGTTATTTCTATCATATTTGTCAGACATTACAGAAAGACAAAAAGCTGGAGAACATTAATGCTTAATAGGAAGTGTATATACAGTATTTTACAGTGGTTATATTTATGGACTTGACCATAAGTCCAGCTTTTTCACACTACTATGATCTAAAACTGTATGATCTGAACAACAGATATTTTTGAGGCTAGCCTTTTATGGGCCTCTCCAGAGCTCATGGTTGGGTGAGCAGTAAATGAATCAGATATTTTTGAGGCTAGCCTTTTATGGCCTCTCCAGAGCTCAAGGTGATGAAAGTTGAGAATCCTGTCCTGGATGAGCACAAAAAAAAAAATCTGAACTGAGAAAGCAAAAGCCAAAGACTCCAGTGCATGACTGTTAAACATGGAGTACATTCATGTTTAACCATTATCCTTGTTCTCAGTGCGTTCTTTCTGATGAAGAACCTAATCAAAACGAGATAACAGTCAGTATTTAAATTGCTGACCATTACCTAAGTTTCTGATGTTTTTTTCTTTAATTCCTCCTTCTTTAGCTGATATATTTCGAGTATAAGCCTGCCAGCTGGCCTTTGACCTCTGGGGTACTATCAAGGCCAGCAAAGCCTTCTCCGCTGGCCTAAACAATGTCAGAACCAGTGACTAATTTCGTCAATATATTTACATCAACATGTATTGAAATGATACCGATGATTCGCTTGGTTGCGCTGCTTCCAGTCGCATATGCTTGACTTTTTCATCCAATCGTATCTCGATGGTTTCCCAATGATTTTTTTTTTCAACCAATCGGATTTTGATCTGTGTGATTTGATGGAATGGTTAAGGAAAGCTCAGTCGTCTTAGGGACACACACGTAGGAGTTTTGACACTTTGTGAGTGTCAGTGGTGTAAGTGAAGAGTCCCAGGATTCCTTGATCTCTTCTGAGTTGATTTCCGTGACTTTCGGTTCAATACTCACAATAGTCAGAATTTCATCACTCTCATGTGTTAACGCAAAGTTGCCCCAAGGGGAAAGCCACTCCTGTGAATTTGAAATACAGTAGATTTTTTTTTTAAATTAAACTTGTTGCTATTAACTTGCCATCTATAACTGGACTGTTATTTTTTTCATCCTTTGGTTTGGTTTATATACTGTATATTAAAATATATAATTTGACATGTTTGTTATTTTCACACAGACAGCCGCTAGAGGGCACTCTAGGCTTGTGTCCCAGTATCTGCTACTCCTGTACCACTGAAAAACTTTTTTTGTTTTTTACACTGATAGCCGCTAGAGGGCACTCTATCTAGCTCTATCTATTTGATATGTTTGTTTTTTTTACACAGACAGCCGCTAGAGGGCACTCTAGGCTTGTGTCCCAGTATCTGCTACTCAACGTACCACTGAAAAATTTACATTTACAATTTCACCGAAATAATAAATATTATTCGATCTTACTAATCCCTGATATAACTTTAAACGGAATTTTATTTCAATGTCAACAACATGATCAAGGCAAAACGTGTTTGTATATTGAGGCTAGCATAATCCTAGTTAACCACTTGGGAATTAATCTAGTTATAAATGTAAAAAAAAAAAAAAACCCAAACTACTCTACCTTGACATTCCCTTCATGGTGCTGAAGCAGTGGTTTGAAAAAAGGTGCCGGTGACGGTATGGAAAAAATATTCATCTTCATTCTGTCAGACAAATGATGTAATGTTTACATAGTGATTGTTTACGTTGCATTATATTGACTTACTGGAGTTGTTATTGTCATCAAAGTGCAGAAATATTACCTGGCAGAAGGGCTGAGAAATGCAACCAATAGAAATCCCACAGTCACAAACACAGGTCCCAGGTACGTGGTCAAGGTTAATAATATGTTGTCTTGTTCTTCAAATGTAAGGAAATGTAAGGAAATTCAAAGAAAACAATCAAGGTTAATAATATGTTGTCTTGTTCTGCACGAACACATCATGGTAAAACTTCGAACATCAAATGTAAGGAAATTCAAAAAAAAAAAAAAAAAAAACCTTTTCAAGATCTTAAAAAAAAAAGTTTAGTTAATGATATTTTACGCATGAAAATTTTATAAACAATATAGAACAATTTTTTTTTTGCATGGCTACAGTCAGTGTATCAGGACTTTTTACTGAAGAAATAATAAGCCATGCGTTACCTTCCTTTGCAAAATCCCCGCAAATCTTTGAACTCCATTCACTCCAGGTCCCACTGTAATCTCTGACAAAGGCTTTTGATCTCACTTTAAAGCAATATGTAGCTGGTGCTTCAAGTCTTTCTCTCAGAATTGACTTAAAAGTTTTTTGCAGGGTCTTTAAAAAAACAAAACAAACCGAAATCTCAGTGGGAATAAATTGCGTCTTTGGGGCGACTGTTACTGTTGATCTTACCATTCTTTTACTGCTGTCCAATTTCCGTGAAATTAGGAGCTCGTAGTCCAAGCTATTTCTGAGGTATGGGTGGTTTTCGTATCCACTTTCCCATGTGATGTTGATGGCCTCTGGCATTCTGTGGATCTCAAGTCCGCGGGGTGCTGTCAGCTGAACTACAAGCATTCATCAAATCTTACATTTGTCGAATCAACCTATCATTTTTTTTGTTTTGTTATATAACTTGTAAAAATGAGCTCATTTAATCAGAAGTCCAGAGGTTACATCTGGTATTGCAAGGTTTTCCCATCTGACCCATTTGATGGGTTGATAGGTCTTTCTGCTATCTCTATTCCAGCGGTGCCCAATCAGTAAATCTGGATCCACCAGTAGATCTCAAGGACAGTATATATTACATTTGTGACCCAAATATTACAAAGAAAAAAACATGCGAACGTTGCTGTGTAATAGCAAAATAATTCGATGTGTTTCGAGAGAATAATACAGTCATAACATATTTAAGAATCTAAGCTCGTTGTTGCGAGGGATTCAGAGTAACGTCGCGATGACATGAAGGCGATTATGAAAGGTTGTAATTCTTTACGAATATTGGTATGAAAATATCTTGTATTAATCTCACGTTTTCTCATTTCCGAACGCTGTCCGTAGCACTGATGATCGATTACTTGTGTCTTCCAGACTTTGGCATAATTCCGTTACCGAGTATTGGATCAATACATCCCTAATAAACACCATAAGTAAATGTCTCGTAGCATTATGTTCCTCAAAGAAAGCATGATTATGATGCATGAGATACTGATTACCACCATTTTCTGGGCTATAAGTTGCGCCTTTTCCCCATCTTTTAGCTGAGTTTTGTGACTTATACTCAGGTGCGATATCAAATATATAATTTCACTTACGGTTTTGTCTTGGTATAAATCCCTTCGTTAGAGGCTGGCAGCCAGACTTACTACACACTTCTATGTTGTAGTTCTTGTAGCGTAAGTCCTTAACCTGGCAATCACTCGTGTAACTGTGATTCCTTGGCACCAGATAACAAGTCACATTCTCGCTGCAAAACCACAAAATAGAATTCTCTCATCAGTTTTAATTTGTGAAAAAAAAAAAAAAACATTCACTTTGGGCCAAAAAAAACTTTTTCGCAGGTGAAGTTACCTTCGGTCAGTCAACCTCAGGGTGTACGTGGTGTTGGTCTGTCCCATGGGATTTACGGTGATGTTTACGACGCACGTGATAGATTTCCGGTATGCGGTTACGCAGGAGTATCCATCAACTGTGTTAAGGAAAAAAAAAAAACATGGCAGTATTTTTAAAAAGCTATTAACTTGCCATCTATAACTGGACTGTTATTTTTTTCATCCTTTGGTTTGGTTTATATACTGTATATTAAAATATATAATTTGACATGTTTGTTATTTTCACACAGACAGCCGCTAGAGGGCACTCTAGGCTTGTGTCCCAGTATCTGCGACTCCTGTACCACTGAAAAACTTTTTTTGTTTTTTACACTGATAGCCGCTAGAGGGCACTCTATCTAGCTCTATCTATTTGATATGTTTGTTATTTTCACACAGACAGCCGCTAGAGGGCACTCTAGGCTTGTGTCCCAGTATCTGCTACTCCTGTACCACTGAAAAACTTTTTTTTTTTTTTACACTGACAGCCGCTAGAGGGCACTCTATCTAGCTGGTGCGACTTATACTTATAGTTAGTGACTTATAGTTCAGAAAATACGGTACCTTAAAATGAACTCCAAAGACTAAAGATATATAAAAATACCACTGATGTGTGTCTTATTTCAAATTGAAAAATTTCTGACGTGTTTATAATATTAAGCTTTCGTTGTAACAGCTTTGATGTTTGTTTACGTATGCAAACATTCAACTTAAGATGTCTGGAGAAAAGGGAAAAAAAACAACATGCAATTTTTCACTAAATATTGAGTTTGGCCCACATCTTCGTCCCAGTTTTTAATTTTGGCGACTTATTAAATCATCACAATAATCCAGTTTATCATCTTAAGAAAGCGGTATTGCTGTTAGCTTTTTTCTTTTTTTTTCTGCTCATTTCTGATATATATAATATATAGCGTTCTAGAATTGCTTGAGAAAAGTTTTAATATGGAACATATGTGTGTGTGTGTGTGTACGTGTACGAGTGTCTCCTACCTCTGAAGCAGCCACTTGTTGTGAGGACACTGTAGCAACAGCACACAAAGCATAGCCACCAAGACTTCATGACTTTGGGAAGATGAGCAACAGTGTAAGATTATTTTGCGTTGTTATTAATACCAGACAAACAGTGACGTTCGAATACAATTAAGGTTCAATAGCATTATTAGGTTGATTCCAAATGTCAGCATTTATCTTTGTGATACACTGCATGGCTAATACTAGTACTTTAACCTTATGACATTAATCAAAACAATCAACGTAATACATAAACCTAACGTGTCTAACCTAAGACTCACATTGTTCGCATTTTCTTATTTAACAGTGTCTACAATAGTAATATACAGTGTTCTATTTTTGTATTTACTTTTTTTAGTTGTCTAGCTTATGTATGTAATTGGAATATGGGAACCCTTATCCTAAATCAAACATATCCATTAGGAAATAAAGGGAAACAAAGATCTTTAATATTAACAAATAATGTTGTTAATAATAGTATAGTTTTTGATTTAAAAAAAATACAATGATAAAAAATTAAGTCAATTATCAGCATAAGTCAGTGAGTGGAAATGTGACGTTACCTTGCGGGCTGCTGTGGTGCTGCAGGTGATGATTTCAAAGTGAATGAGACAAAGATGAGGTTTTTATACTTTCACTTGTGCCACAGGAAGCCATGTCGTCATCACTGCGTATTTTTTTTTCTTTTGTCTGTTTTTGTTTTTTTTTTTTTCCAAACGTATTTCAAATTTTAAACTATATAAAGTCCAGTCCCATTAACAATGCATTTTTTTTCTATTATTTGTGACTTTGTCACTGCATACATAAAGTCACATTACTGCAATTTTCGGACTATTGAGCGCACCTGAATATAAGCTGCTCCCACTAAAATTGAGCTCCGGGGGCTGAACCTGTATCGCCACTCCCGACCTCTCCATGGTCGTGTATTTAATTCATTTCTGTGTAATATGTATATCTTACATTTCAATTCTCCAACTCTACTGTGCATATAAATGTGTGGGAAAGGGTTGATAACAGTGTGGGAGAGGTTTGTAAAGGGTATATATATATATATATATATATATAT